GCACTGAGCCACGTCTCCAGCCCTTTCTTGTATTTTATTTTTTTTTATTTTATTTTTTTAAAGAGAGAGTGAGAGAGGAGAGAGAGAGAGAGAGAGAGAGAGAGAGAAAGAATTTTTAATATTTATTTTTTAGTTCTCGGCGGACACAACATCTTTGTTGGTATGTGGTGCTGACGATCGAACCCGGGTCACACGCATGCCAGGCGAGCGCGCTACCGCTTGAGCCACATCCCCAGCCCCCTTTCTTGTATTTTATTTAAAGACAGGGTCTCACCAAGTTGCCTAATGCACTGCTGTTGCTGAGGCTGGCATTGAACTCCTGATCCTCCTGCCTGAGCCTCCCAAATTGCTAGTATTACAGGTGTGTGCCACCGTGCCCAGCTATCATAGGGTATTTTGTAGTCCTTCAGCTTGACTGAGCCCAGAGCAAGGGAAAGCAAGTTAAGAAAATTAGAAGAGGGTGCAGCAGTGCACGCCTGTAATCCCAGCTACTCAGGAGGATAAAGCAGGAAGATCACAAGCTGCAGGCCAGCCTCCACAGCTCAGCAAGACACTCTCAAAAAATAAAAAAGGGCTAGGCGCAGTGGCGCACACCTGTAATCCTAGAAGCTGGGGAAGCTGAGACAGGAGGACTAAAAGTTCAAAGCCAGCCTCAGCAATTTAGCAAGGCTCTAAGTGGTTTAACAAGATCCTGTCTGAAAATCAAAAACAAAAAAGGCTAGGGATGCAACTCATTGATAGAGCACCSCTAGATTAGATTCAATTCCCAGTACAGAAAAAAAAAAAAGCAAGAATGAAAGTTACCTTTTGGGCTGGAAATGTGTGTAGCCCAGTGGGAAAGAACTTCCCTAGCAAAAAAAATAAAAGAGAAAAGGAAAAATTTAGAGAAACTTTTGAGTCTTAAGATGAGTGAGACCTGGGCTGGGGATGTGGCTCAAGTGGTAGTACGCTCGCCTGGCATGCGTGCGGCCCGGGTTCAATCCTCAGCACCACATACAAACAAAGATGTTGTGTCCGCCAAAAACTAAAAGATAAGTATTAAAATTCTCTCTTTCAAAAATAAATAAATAAATAAATATTGAAAATTCTCTATTCTCTCTTTTCTCTT